TCAGATGAACTCCTGATGCTCCTTTAATGACCCATTTCTCCATTTTTATGAGCTGTGTGACCCCACAAAGAAACCTCACCTTAGGCAACCCTGTAGGAATGGAAGCAGGAAAAAAACAGAGGTGTATTCCTGACACTCAACAACCAGGATGTCAGCATCTTAAGAACACCTTTTTTCTGCCTAAACCAAACCTAAATCCACAGACAGTAAATAGCATGTCCTGAAATTATGTTTGACACCTACTTAGGCAAAAGAGTTAAAGGCAGGTATTTTACCAGTTGCGATGCAGAGAAAAATACATTTTGCAGGTAGCAGAACATTATTCTTTGAGAAAAACAAACAAAAATTCATCAAAACTTGCTTCAACAGAACAAACAGGGAATTCAAATGAGCATACACATTTACATACAGAATACAGAATACAAGAGGCCTACAGATAGCTGTAGCTGATGCAGTGCATGACATCACAGCTCGTGAGAGCCCCAAGCCTGCAGAGATCTCTCTGCTTTCCTTCAAATTACTACCAAGCTGTAAACAGAATTAAGAAGTCATCAACCACCAGGGACAAACTGTTTTGTTATTTTCCCACTTCCTTCAACAAAATATCGAAAGGCTTACTTACCCTTCTGTTCACTTTCAAACCCTACAACAACACCTCGTGCCCCATTCACTAGCCCTTGAGACACATCAAGATTCTTTGCTAACATCACCTACAGAGAAAAAGAAAAATCCTTAATGCAGCACTTCTACAGCCTGTTCAGCTACCTGCAGCTAAACTTCTTGCCAGGAAGCATAAGCACATCAGGCTGATTTGGCCAAATCATCCTATCCTGCCTATTGCAACACCATCTCCGATTTGATTGGAATTATTTCAGTCTTTCCTTTCTAGGATTCCTAATTACATGATTTTACAGCATTTTACTTGAGCTATTTCTGTCCACAGCTGTGAGCTCAGATCTAGGGAGCAGTTTCCCCTCCACCAGGCATCACCAGCCTATGCATATACAGATTCTGGGAACAGCAAAGGAACAAGTTTCCAAAGCAAACAGTGCTACTACCAAGTACAATCCTACGTCATTTCCATTTTGACAGCCCTAGCTCAGAGCCAGGTACCCAGTCCAGCAAATACGGCAAGCTGTGCCATACCTTTACAGCTGAGGAGGGCTGCTGTACCTGGAGCTGAGACTGCAGGCAAGGACTGCTTATGCTCTCTGCTATTGGAAAGCTTCTAAATTTGATTGGACATGTCTGTCAAAGTCACAGCAATCACCACTGTCCCCAAGACATGAACCTGAACTCATCTTCTGTCTGGATAAGACTCTGAGCAGAAAAGATACACAAACTGGGATAGAATCTTCTGTTGGCCTGGCATAGCCATTCTAGACTGAATTTGCATGCTGTATATTAATCTACTCTATACATTTATCTGAAATTTCTCCATTTTTCTTACGCCATTTGTTCTGGTCCATCACACATGTATGTGCACACACTTACCTGAGCTCCGAGCTTTAGCTCAACTCTACCACCCACAGGACACTGAGCATCAATTAACTTCACTAGCATTGGGTCACTGTCCAAAGCCTCAAACACATGCACTTCTCCTGTTAAGGAAAGAAAGACAGAACTTACAAATGTTGAACATACTCTACACAGCATTTCAGGAGTTCAGCATTTATTTCTAATAGTAACTCCTCTTTTAATACCCATTCTGCTCCGCTGTTATGACATCCTCACACAAACCTAGTCACATCTAAAAGCAGAGAGCTCACTATTGTTTCTCTTCCCTATATAACTTCCAGAGCATGGAAAGGCACAGGATTGAAAGGTTAGCAGTAAATAAGAACTGAGCAGACAGCATTTTGACCAGTTTCACTCACTACCAACACCAGATCTCCAAAGCAGGTTAAGGAAGAACCCAAGGAAGGGCCAGCAAGCCAAAAAAAGCAAAAAAATTAAATAGCCTTGAATTCAAGTCATGGCTGGATAGACTGTGGCCTTTTTAAGATGCTATAGAAAGAAAAAGTAGGGGTGTGGAGGCAATAAATTACCCAACCTATCTCACAGCAAGCAATGACCTTTCTGTCTCTTACAAACCAAATACTGACATTGTGGATTTTTAAACAAAAAACTAAATTTTTTCCTTAGACACCTCAATTCCAACACACAGAACTTGGATGGTGCTGCTGTGCATGACAGAGCACTAGTTCCACCTGACACTCCAGTACCTGCCCTGCATCCACGCAGAGCTCAGCCCCAGAGCCAGGAGTTTCCTCCACCGAGTTCACCTGGTAGCTGTTGCAAGCGTCTCTCATTGGTTATGTCTACATCATCTTTATGGGTGCAGAGCCTCGTAGCCAGGATCCCATCACGCTCAGACTTGTGAGCAGCTGTCTGCATCAGTTGTCTGGTAACCTCCTCTGTGCACCTGGTAGCCAGGAAAAGGGAATTCTTCTTTAAAGTGATCAGGAACAGGTTTGAGCAGCAATAACCTCCACACAGCTAAATCAGTCTGTGCAAGCTACAGGCCTCCAGAGGCCAGAGAAGGATACCTGCATAAAGTCAGAGAGCAGAGCCAGTGTGTGCCCCAGCCCTGCCAGCTCAGGATCCTTTGAAATCGTTCACAGGAATTACAGAGGGACCCTAGGAAGGGTCCTTCCTTACCAGAGCAGTATATATGAAACCTGCCTACATTAACTAAAGCATTTATAGCTTTTTCTCACAGCTACACATTTCTGACAGAGTACAGAAAAGTGACAAACTGCTCTTTCCTCTGCTTCATCAGTGGGGAGCAGGGATTACAAAGAGAGATGGGTTTCTCCTCACCTGCCTAAACGGATTGCACTCAGGATTGAGACAAAGGTCTTGTCAGTCTGTCTCCGCACTTCAGTCAGCTCCATGTTTATGTGGATGCATTTCCTCCAGCATTTTGCCTGGAAATATCATTCTCATGTTAAGAAAAAGGCAGACTGAAGTATGAGAATGAGTTTAGAGACAGTTCTGTACCTGGAAGCAGAACTTGGTTTCTTCATTAGCCTTGGAGACTGGGGGTAGCTGTAAGAAATCCCCACAGATAATTAGCTGAATTCCTCCAAAAGGCTCATCCCGTTTTCTGACAGCCCTGAAAGGGATAGAAGAGAAGTTTTGAACATCCTCCAGAATCTGGATATAGCCAGGTCGCAGAAGTTACTTCTTATTCTGTCTGTATATTCAAACCTAGACAACCTGCAGTGAAAGATGCTTATCCTCAGCTGCCTCAGAAAAGCTCAAATAATTTAGCAGTGCTTGTACAAGACATTAAATTTGCTTTGCTTACCTAGCCTAGAGATCATTAGCAGTGTTGGTTCTTTAGTGGCTGTTATACTACAGCTATTTCTGTCTTCCAAGAAAATAGCTGTCTTCTTACAGCTTTTCTGTTTTCTGTCTTGCCACCTTTTGGGGGAGCTATATGTTCTGGATTCAGCTCTATAGACAGCACATAGCTCAGGAGATGAAGAAAGTAACCCAAACAGCCACAGCTGTGAGTGAGGAGTGGACATGACCAAAACTTATCTCATGGTAAAGATCAACCCAGATGCTATGATTTCATGCTTTGTTATAGTCTTGTACCAGCAGCCGCCTTGTATCCATGCACAAAACAAAAGAAAGTAAGCAGACTGGAAATTTAGAGAAATTAATTTCTGCTAGTTTGACCTGCCAATTGCTCACCTTGCCACTGCTTCCAGCTTGTCAAAGAACTTGCCATCCACCATTGAAATCTCATCAATAATTAAGTGCTGGCAGGCCAGCCAATGCTGGCGCACCCCTGGCCTCTCTGCAAGCTGAATGCACTGTTCCAGCGGTGCCTTCCCAGAGCCGATCCCTGTCACAAGACCAAAAAACAATGCTTTACGATGCCCCTGATTCTTTGGGAAGGGAGTAAGAGCTCCCAGCCCCTTGCTGTCGGGCAGGCCATCACCTGCAAAGGCATGCAGAGTAGTGCCACCGATGTGACAAGCCGCCACTCCCGTGCTGGCTGTGGGGTAGGTGACGTTCGGAGGGAGGGAGCCCACGATTCTCTTCAGCAGGAACGACTTCCCGGTCCCTTCGAGAGACAAGCAACAGGTCAATGGCCAGGACTATCCCCGGGGAGCAGTTGAGAGTGGCCGGGAGCCCTCACCTGCAGAGCCGGTGAAGAAGATGCTCTTCCCGCTGCGCACGGCGCCCAGCACCGCCTCCTGCTCCGCCGAGAGCCTCGCCGGGGGCCGCCTCTCGGCGCGGGGCACCTGCGGGACAGGAGGGGGTGCGCTGTGCGGGGAGCGCCGCTACCCGGGGCCGCCCCTCGCCCCGGGACTCACCTCCGCCGGGCGCTCCCCCCGCTCTTCGCCGGGGCGGCGGCGGCCGGGGCCGCACAGCAGGTCCCGCTCCTGCACCGGGCTGATGACGGAGAAGGACGGCGGCGGCCGCTCCAGCAGGCGGGGGCGGCGCGGCGCGTCCCGCGACCCGGCGGCCACCTTGAGCCGCAGGAGGCGGAGGAAGCGGCGCAGCGCGTCCGGGGGGCAGTCGGACAGCAGCACCTGGGCGCCGTCCGGCCCCACGCGCACCGCCGCCCGCCCCTCGCCCGCGAACCGCGTGAAGAGCCGGACGGCGTCACCGGCCAGCACGAAGCTCAGCACCGCCGCCGCCGCGCCGCTGCCGCCGGCCACCCGCAGCACGGGCTGCCGCAGCTCGTTGCGGCCCAGCAGCACGGTCGCGTTCCGCATGACGCGGCGGCGCGGGGCGAGTCCCCCCGGCAGCGGCTGCTCCACGGCCGCCGTGCAGCGCAGCTCCGCCGCCTCCATCGCCCCGCCGGCCGTTCAAACGCGCCGCGTGCGCCGCCGCCAATCAGCGCCCTGGGCTTTAACTCGACCACCAATAGGAGGCAGGAAGGGAGGGGCGAGAGGCGGAGCGCCGGGCGGACCAATCAGCGGCCTCGGCGGCAGCAGGCGGGCGTTGCCAGGGACGCGCGGCGGCAGGGACGCGCGCCGGCGGCGTGGCCATGGACGCGCCCCGCGGCGAGAGGGACCCGCCGGACGCGCTGCAGAACCGCCTCCGCACCGAGCGGGCCAACAAGGAGCGCCGCTGGCAGCTGCTCTTCACGCAGTACACCGTGAACCCCTTCCACCCCGGTGAGGCCTCGCGGCCACAGGGAACCCGCGTAAAGCCCCGGGGACATGAAAAGCCGTGAGGGGAGTCGGGGGGACCGGAGGCAAGCCCGCAGTGCTCAGCTGCACGCTGGAACGCAGCCGCGCCCAGGCGGGGCAGCAGTGGCCAGTGAGAGGGGTGAAGATGGAAAGGCCAACTTTTGCCTAGGGAACCGATCTGCACACTCACAGACAGAACCAAGACATAACCCACTTGCCCCAATGGTGCCTTCAGTAACCACATAGAAGTGAGGCAACTATTTAGGATGTGCAGCTTACAAGTTCAGTTCAAACACAGAGCCTAGGTAGGGTAGCGGGCCCCAACACCACACCCTGTTCCTTCAGGATCTGATTGCTTTCTACCTGCCAATTCACAGTCTGTGATAGCACAGGTATAGATTCTTTCAGGTCTAGTTTTTTTTAATAAAACAACAAAGAAAAATAATTTCCTGAGACTTGGCACTCAGGCCATGCCTTGACTGGGTGGGACTCTGATATGGTAAGCACAGGCAGCGTCCTATTAAAGGGCCTTTATCACATTAATGACCTTCCCTTCCTAGAAGTTGCCATTAATCAGTATTTCTAACTCAGTTTCTTCTATGCACGTGCAGTTCAATAACACATATTCTATACCTGGCTGTGATGCCAAATTCACATTAAAGTCATTCACCTGTCTCATTTCTCTCCAGTTCACATGGTTGCTAGGAAGCCAATGTCTCGGCATGAGAATGTACAGGAACCAATAAATGGTAAGAAAAGCTTGTGGTAACTACATAAGAAAATTATTAACACATAAGATTTAATAATTATCAGTCTCAAATATCATGTATGTGGAAACACCTCTGTGACCATATAAGTAAGTTAAACTCATTTATGATTTTTGTTTGTAAAGCAGCTTTTTTCCACTTTAAGGCCCTTTCCCATTACTTTCCATTTTCAGCACAAGTTTGCACCCATGCAATTATGCTCTCATTTTTGTTTTTAATTAAAATATATATCACCTATAAAATATATACAATTCCTTATATTCATACTATAAACTTTTAGTTGAGAATCTAAACCTCTCGGGAAAACAAAAATACCTAGGAGTATGTTCTGTATGTACATGTTGCCTGCCATTGCAGATTCTACCCAACCACCACACAGGTTAAACTGCTGAAATGACTGCCCAGTCTTACTTTAGAACACTGGTAACAAGAGCCCTTATAGCAGCTGCTCCCTTATTTCTAACATGCTAATTTTGTCTAAAAAACTTTAATGGGTCCGGGAAGGTTGGCCTGCTCTATTCAAGACTGGGGAGGGTGGCAAACCAGACCAGGGAAAGGCTGTAGGTCTCAGGCAACTGACAAAGTTGAGAGCTGTCATGGAGCACTGGTTCGTACTAGATGTGGTGTAGGAAAAGTAAGATGCTGCAGTACAATGACAGGGATACCAGAATTAACAGGACAGTACTGTCAGGCAAATCTTGAAACTTCCTCAGGAAATATTTGAGTAGGAATGTCACCGTACATTCTGACAGTATCATTCACAGAGGCACAGAGGCTGCCTCTACCCTTGCTGTTCTTGTTGTTGCTTGGATAGTGTTAAGATGTCCCATTCTAACACATGCCCACAGGTGACTAATTTTTAAACACACTTTCATTTGTATTTGTGTCTCTTAAAACGACAGATGAATTCCTGAATCTTCTTCACCGTGCAGCAGAAGTGCCAAGAAAGAAATACTCAGAGCCACAAACTGAAAGCCAAGAAATTGGCTGGCATACAACACCTTTGGTGAGTAGGATACTTAAAGACTCAGCCCTTTACAGGATTCAGAGATATTAGGCCTGCCACACTGAAAAATACTCATGCAGGAAAACAATTTGTGACAAACAAGGAAAACAAGAATTACAGGGAGTGAACAGAGCTGTTCACAGAAAACAAGTTGACAAAATTTACACCTAAGAGGACTCTTCACACTGGCGGAGACTTGTAAAAAGAGAAGCAGTACACTTCCCCTGAGAAACCTGACTGCAAAACAACTACAGTGACAGTGAGAGCACACTGCCAAATGCCACAGTTGTACTCAGGGCTGTTTATTAAAGTGTTCAGCCATGAGAAATGGTGTAGTGAGCAATGGGAAGTGACGTACAGAAGTATTGTGAAAAGAAATGTCCTGCTGCACAGCATCTTTCAAACAAATTGCAAGCAGAACCATAAAATTAATAATCATGTAAGTATACCCAAAGCAGATACACCAGTGAGGATTTGTCTGGGGAAGTGTGAATAAACAGAAGGAAAAGAAATATGATTAACAAGTTGAGAAATCAATCATATCTGGCTAACAGCTGTACTGATGACTGACTTTGCAGATTAATGTTTTGGGAAAGGCAAATTTTGGCCTGTTATAAAGAGAACTAAGATAAATAAGAAAATAAGACAATTTTCATTGACGTTTCATATTATATATCAAGTAAACTAGTTACTCATGACAAGAGTAGAGACAGACATCCCAGCTGGGCTCTAAGGTATTAAGGAACTGCTGGTAGGATTAGTCTGGCAGGGTTGAGGCAACAAAACATGTGTGTAGGGAAGCAAGTCTGATTTTTAGAGTCAGAACTGATGATATTGTTTAATTTGTTAGGTTTTCCTTATTTGTCAGGCTTGACCATGACAAAGCAGTGAACAGTACAGTGGTACCCTTCTCTTCTGCCATTTGGACATTTCTCAGCAGTGGAATATCATGCGTCACTCCCCCCAGGAGGAACTACTACTACTGGTTTTAGCAAAAGCTCATGACTGTTTGTCATTTTTGTTTCCCAGGTTCCTTTCGACCGCAATGATACCAGATTCTACTTCCCACGCCAGACAACTGAGATTACCATCCACGGCTACCCTGCACCACGGGGAGAGAAGACTAAAGACTAGCACAGGGGAAGGCCACAGATGAATGTTAATGACATCTAATGTGTTAGGTCCTGCTCGTTATCTAGCAAACCTGGCAGATTTCTAGTGACAGGCAATAGAAAAGAGAACTTTAATCTGTCAAGATATACAACCTGACAACAGTGACACAAATAAACCTATCTGTAAGGCTCTGTATTCATCTCACTGCTGTTCCTATACCCATCTACACAAATAGTCTAAAAAAACACTCTAACATCTCAAAAAGCTTCAGACATTGGCAACACGAACCAGAACTGAAGGTCACCAACCTTCCTCTTAAGAGTAGTGGTGGAAAAATCTGTCAGAATGAAGGGTAAAAAGGGCAGGCTTCAGCCACCATTCATTGAACAGTTAAGCATGAGTTACACATAGTTCTGTGCAAATCAATTAATGCGTTCACACACCAAAGCTTTAAGTAGAAAAAAATCCTTCAACAAAACAGACAGTAAAAAAAAATTAGTGATAAGGCACTGGTTTCCACTGACTTTTTTTCCTTGCCACTGCAAAGCATCCAGCTCACTCCACAGTGTACTGCTTGATGACAGCAGAAACACATCTTGCAACACAAAGAAACACAGGAACCCCACTGGGGAGCACAGTTCTCTTAGCGGGCTCGGTTCTTCATTTTCTGCCTTGCTCTCTTTCCAGGTCTCTTCTG